GCACACATAGGTTAGCTATTTACTCTACATATTCAATAACCTGTGGGATCAGGAGAGACAGTTAATCACTATAAACCTCATATTTATGAAGGAAAATACTGGTAGTTACTGTTTATACATACCCATGGCAACTTTTTATAAATGTTTTTCTTTATTTCCTTCCTCTTTACTATTAATAAATATAGACATAAAATAAATATTATTCAAGGCATTGCTATCATGACATCCTGATTCAACTACTGATTAACTCTTTAGGATTATTCCTTAAATCTATTTTAGTATATATTTCTTCATTAAAATTCTTCAAAACATAAGCATATGCTTTAGTGGGTAGACTTAGACTGTGGGGAATAAACTATACACAGGGTCAGAATTTTCTTTTTTTTTTCATTTTTGTTGTTGTTGTTGTTGTTTTTTTGTGAAGGGTCTCCCAGTTACTAATCTTTAAAAAGTGAGTCACTAAGAAGCAGAGAGGTTTGATTGGGCAAAGCTTGTCACTTTTTCTGTCACCCTCCTTTGGACCTCCATCCTCAGGGTCCAGAAGACAGCTCTCTCTGTTCATTATTTCAACTTAACCTGAGAAGGAGACATGGCAAATCCCCGAAGTTCATGGCTTCCTGCCTGGAACTTGGCATCCACATCTCCCTTCAGCATTGATCTTTCCTCTTGCAGGTAAAAACAGAAAAAATGGAGAGAAAAGCATGGCGGATCCCTTTCTCCCCGTCTGTGCAAGCCTGCCTCCAACCTGGTGATCGTTCACACTCACCATTTGTGTGAAAGCCTTGTTGTTGTTGTTTTATTTTTTTTTAATATGATACTAGATTCGACTAATTAACTCAGTCTCATAGTTTCTGCAATTTTCCTCCTGCAAACTAGTTTTTAGAAGATGTTTCCCCATTGAAACTTCTAAACATAAAATATTCTTTTTAGATATAATTATGAAGCTTCACTAATAACTGCAAAAAACAAAATGCCTAGTGAACTAACCTCATATAGTGGTCAAGTGAAAGTTTTGTGTTTCCTGTCTTGTTTTTCTTTGAAACTATAAATCTCAGAAGTTAGCTCATTACCTGAAAAAAATTTATGAAGAACTGGCGAAGTATAACAGGAGTATTGCCACTGAATGGACTATTTGATTTATTTGAGCAGGTAATGAACAATGTTGCTGTCCAATCCACCAATGCATCACCTTAATTAGGACATAAAATAAGAGGAGCGATGCTCCAGCAGCTTTTCCTATCCTAGTGCCATCCATAGTCTTTGGTAGGAAAGAGGAAAAGGAGCAATAACCAAAGAAAAGTGGCCACGTCCCTGAAGGGACTGGGAACAATTACTGGGATTCAGAAGTAAACACGGACAGTATGGGTAGGAAAACATCATCTCTGTAGCAAGATTTATGGGAAGATGGCTAAGCCACTAACAATGCGCACTTATGATGAATTTTATTAACTGTAGCCATCAGCTTTCTTTTTGAGAGGAAGGTTGAGATATTTATTAGAAGGACTTGGGCAGATGTGGAAGGATTAATATGGAAGTATATAACTATTTCTGGGACTACTTAAATTTCATGATTTGAAAATACTTCCCTTCTTTAGTTAAAGAAACATATTTAAAATTCTTGTTTCTTCACAATAATATTTTTGTTCTTTATAGACAGTTTTATATTTAGATATGAGATAGTTTTCAGGCTTCTCATTTAGTAACTCTAGCAACTCCATCTGTGGTTTGAAGAATGCTCTGGAAAGCCCTGAGGGATATAGATATTTCCATCATTACATATAGTTTTATTTTAAAAATAATTTATTAGTCATCTTAAAAGAATAAATGTCTCTGATTCAAGATCTTACTTCCATCTTTTATATTTTGTAAACTCAGCTGGCATCACAGAAAGAAGTGCCTTAGAATTTGAACTAAAAGTCTAGACCAATTTGTGTGTTAATAAGTTATGTAAAATCATGTTGAGGGTTTTGAAGTGTCTGTAAACATCACCATGGAGACATGTGTCTGAGTCATTATTGTGGGCATCTTCCTACATAGTCCATATCTGAAATTAATTATACCACCAAGGACAGCTAGGAATATAGTTTGAGAATGAAAGAGGAGAAGTTATATTAGAAACCACATGACAAGGATGATGGGAACAGGAAAGGGAGAACATTCTTATTTAAACAAACTATACTGATATCAAGTAGGAAAAGTATACAGATTCATTGGCCTTCTTCTTGCTTCAATCTCTTTCTAATTAGAATCTAAGTTCACTTTTATTGATGTCAGATGTTAATAAAACTAGTAAGCTCCTATTACATGGTAGACATATTTAATACTTAGCTTTATCCTAGTACAGTTTCAAACATCAACAAGACCACACAACACTGATTTGCATTGATAATAAATGCATTTATAATGGGCATTAATATGCATCTTAAAGTAGAGCCATTGCTTTAACTAAAATTTTCAGGTCAAGAGCAGTAATAAGAGGGAGTTTAATTTTAGGTAAAGAAGACCTGCCTTAACATAACTGATGTTCTTTATCTCCCAGCAACTTTCATTTTAAGATTATCTTATTTTAAAAAGGAATAATAATCAGTTCTCAAATTTTTTTGTTTCCTTATCATCTTCAAACTTTTCATTGAAATTTGCCGTTTTGGTAAAAATAAACAATGAATCCTGGGATATTTTATGTGGTGCTTTGTTTCTACTCCTTGCTGGGGAAGAAAAAGACAACAAAATGTCATTCTTGTTAAACACACCAGTTTGAGATCAGCAATGTTTATATTAAAATAGCCTGCTGTGTCCAGAGGTGTCCCAAACGGACTGGTGGTTGTGAAAGCACATTTCTAACAGTAGCTGTTAAGGAAGCCAAGTGTAGTTGTTGAATAAGGAGAGAGCATGTTTGGGTTCCTGCTAGGTAGTCACTGACTTCAGTGATGGATGAAGGGCATGGCATATATTCTTCAAGGTCTGAGTTTCATGTCTTCTGTCCCACGTGATTTATTAAAAAAAATGAGTTTCAAGTATTGATTGAAAAATGTGGTCAGCTTATTTTTAATATGTGAATCACTTGGAAAATTTATTTGTCCTGCTATCTTTCCTAAAATGTTTGAAATCTTCTCATTTAATATTCTGGACACAATTGACAAATAATTTGTTTTTCTGCTCATTTTTAAAAATTGTTTTACATATAAATGGGAACTGAGTGAAAATCAAAAAAGTCTTTTTTTCTAAAACATTAATTTTCAGAAAAGATTAACAGATATCTGTATGATGGTCAAGAAAGGCTGGGGATGAATTGATTAAGAATTTATAGATAGGCGATATGATAACCTATGTATTTGAGTTAGCAAATAAGATAACGATTTTAAAAGCTATAACCAATGTGCTGTAGTTTATGTCATTGTTTCCAAAATATACACTTGTGCCCAAGAAATTTATATTCTCCTCTTTAAGAAAATAACCAATGGAAAGTTATCAAGACCATTTTAAAATGTGGTATCAATAATGCTATTTCTAAATTGTAGTTGTTGAGAAGTTGGTCTCAAGGCAAATTGACTGGGTACAAATTCTTAACTTTGTCATTTATTAGTAGGATGACCATGGTCATTTGATTTAATCTGTCTCTGACTATGTTTCCTCACCTATAAAATAGGAAAAATAATAGCATAGGATTCAATATTAGTATGAATTATAAATGTTTTGGCAGTGACTTGGCTGTAATAAGTACTCAATGAAAAATATGATTTTTATTAACATATACTGTGTAAACTTCTTTTTGTGATTTTCTGAAAATTTTGTTATATAAATTTTATGTTGTCATGGGTTTATTACTTACTTAAATAATATGGACAAATCCAAGAGAACAATAGAGTAAAACTGTTGGCATTAATATAGTTCTTTAGAAATTTTTTGCAGACTGACACATTTGAGCTACATGATCTGAATCTGCAAATGGACATTTTCTTACCTGGGGCATGTTATAACAGGCCTTGCCTGTCTCCTGTTCTGACTCTGCACTTGCCATTGACAGGCTACGATTCTGACAGTAATCTTTCTAGACATAGCATCCTTCTACGAAACAGATATTGGCTTAAACAAGATCTAAAGTGTAGGTGATTTACATAAAATATTGAACTATCTCTGTTATCTGCTGAAAGTCAATGATTTAATAGTAAAAATATTGAGAACCATGAAAAATTTAGAGAAAGAAAAATACAGATGTGGCAAAGGAGACTGTCCATTTAACTGCAGATGATAGGGGATCATTCTGGAAGTTTCCAAAGTCCTTCACTAGGTAACAATGTGACAGTAATGAACCTCAATAATTATTTGTGAATTCCTTTTAGCTAATTTTGAAGGACATATTATGTAAAAATAGAACACTAACAAGGATTTTGGTAGACCATTATTTATCTCCCATAAGGATGGTTTTATTGAGCACTCTTAATGAACAGAGACTCTCCGAGAGGGATCTTTGCAGCTAAAGAAAGAATACATGGGTGAAAAACAAACATAGTAAGAAATGGGTAAAGACGATAGAAAAGGAAGACTATTCATAGTGTTAGCCTTCAGCTGAGAAGAGAAGAAACGAAAGACAGGTAGTGATCTAACACCATGATTCTGAATGGGAAAAAATGCAAACAACCAATATGGAATGGCATCTGTGTTGTTACTTATATCAAAGTGGAACTCAGTCAGAGGAATAGGCCTAATGCAATTAGAGGTGTCCACTCATAGTAACATCCTGCAAGTACTGGTAAGAATCAGGAAACAAAAATAGCAGCACTGCTACAGGAATATGATACATGAGATTTAAAAAAAAATGCATTTCGGAAACTCCAAGGCATGGGGTGGGAGACATGTTAGAAAGACAGGGATGAAAATAAAACTATACTCATAAGAGCACAGAAGCAAAAAGTATGACTTAAATAATTTTCTATTATCTCCTCCAAATCTTTTTCTTTTTAAAAAAATTTTTTTGTAGTTGTAGATGGACAGCATGCCTTTATTTTATTTGTCTCATTTTTATGTGGTATTAAGATCAAACCCCTCACACATGTTAGGCAAGTGCTCTGCCATAGAGATACAGCCCCTCCTTTTCTTTTTCTACTCATTTCCTTCTCTTTCTAACTCCCCAAGTATTTAATTAATGATGGTGAGACAAATTGATGAAATGACTTTTCCTGGGCTAGTCAGAATAGTATTCCAGTCTTCCGCCTTCATACCTCAAATCTTTAATAATTAAAATAAAAGAAATAAAAAAATGAAAAACTAAAATAATGTATCATATAATGTATCTAAACACTTAAAATGGAGTCAAATTGCAGAGGTCCTTTTCATCAGATCAATTTCTCTATTTTATGATAATTTAACTTTGGGATAAATATTGTTCCTGTGGTTCATTAGCACGTGACCAAGGACAACCTAAGAAGCTCTAAAGAGGTATAGGAGGATACTAATAAAAGAGCTGTATGTAGCAGTCCATTTTTGCTGGATTCAATTCTTCAGTATTTATTGAGGGTACAGATTGAAGGGGGTTCAAGAAAAAGGAATTCACAGGGTCAGAATTATGTATTGCTTTTTTTTTCCATGGACAAAAGAATCAGAATAAGTTGTCAACTCTTAAATAACTTCCCTTGTGCTGAGGAACAAGTAGTTCCTTATTTTATTTTCTGCCATAGCATTTTTCTCTCCATTCTGAAAAAAAAAAATTAAGCAAGTAACATCAGCCTCCACTGCTTGAAAACCTTCCCTCTGCAAGCCTCCACTGGGCCATCTGACTGTCTCTATGGTAACACTGTTCTATTTTTGCCACATCCTGATTACTTAGTATGGACTGGAGTGTCTTCACATTCTGAACTTTTCCTCACCTCTATCAAATTGACCAGAAAACATTTTACTTTCTGAGGTTTCTACTTTTTCTCAGTGGCAAGTGATAAATGAGTGATGTGGTAAACAGATCCCTCACAATGATTAACCCATACTAATAATCTCTACTGCCAGATAGCTAAGACACTTGGATGACTCTTTTAGAGACAATGACAATAATACTATTACTAGCTAAAGTTTACTGAGGGCTTCTATAGACCAGGCCTACGTCTAGATACTTTAAGGATGTCACTTTAATCCTAACAACAATATCATCAATTTGTATTACTTTTGTTTTATAAATGAGAAAACGAGAGCTTAGTAAATTTAAGTAACATAATCAAGATAAATCAGGGCATAGAATTTAAAGCCAAGTCCATTTTAACTCTAAAATTCCTTTTCTTTTAATAGTATGTTTTTTTTTCCTCCATTATTTTCTGGGAAAAATTTGTAGGCATTTGCTAGATGGAAAATTTTACTTTACATTAGTTGAAACCTTACCAAGTAATATTGTCATACAAGGGTGTTAAGTGTTAAGGATGCTAAGCAAACTGACCCTTTGCATTTGTCATCTAAACTCCTTCCTTGTGATGGCACAGTTATTTCAACACAAGTTTGAAAATACAAGTTGTATTTTAGACAGTCATTATGGTTATGGAACTGTCAGGAGATCAAGTATGATAAGTTATTTTTATATAGTTAGCAAATATTCATGAAAAACTCACTGTAGACCAAACATGTATCAGAGAAAAAAATAACAAATACAGTGTTTTACTCAAGAATTCTTCTCTTTAGTGAATGGAAAACTGAAAAAGTTTTGTATGCAATATCCCATTAAATATACCAAAAAATGCAGCTCTAATCTGATCTTTGTGAAATATTAGTCATTTGAAACTCCAAGAATTCAGAGAATAACAGCAAGGAAATGATTTATAGTTTAGTGGTTAAAGACTAAATTTTGCAATTTGCCTTAAATTCCCTTTAACATTTTCTGAATACCTTTACACACAGAAAAGTTTTTGAATGCACGTATTATAGAAGTTTATCTTTGTTTTAAAGTCTTTTTAACATATTTTCTCTCTAATTTTTAATTTTTTAATACTCTGAAATATTCTTCTTAATAACTAACTTGGGATGATGCTTTATGTGAAGTAATGAACTTCTTGATTTTGAGCAATAATGTATACTGTATTTCAGTGTGATTTTTTCACATAAAAATGGAATGTGTTTTCTCAATATAAAATGTGCTCTATTATTTATGTATCTGTTTTCAATTATTTAACATTAAGAAGTGTAAATATAATATTACAGATGACAAATTTATATAAGTAAAATTACCTATATTATATTCAAATGTGATATATTTCCAAATAATAAAATTTACTACCATCCATAGGGTGTGTCATGTGCTGCTTTATATTGGTGATGATGTGTTCATTGACTTACAAATGTTTTTCTTCCTTCGGGCAACCATAAAGAAATTGGTGAAGATTTGGGTTTTGCCCACATTTCCACAGAGACCAAACCCATATGTAAAGAAAAAGCAATCAAGGCTAAGCAACTCATCTGATATAAAAATGTGAAGGCGTTAATTTCAGCTAAAAGATAAATATAAATATCTTCTTTAGTACTGCATTATTTGAAAATGAAGGTGTTACTTAATTATCAATTGTTATATTCAACATGCCTAATTTAGTTGGACATAAACTCCTTTGTAGTACAAAGAAAAAAAATGATGACATTTTCTGAAATATCTGTACTAGGAACTGTCTATTAACCAAGAGGCTTTTTTAACAGTGTAAGCAACAGATAGCATTTTATCATTTTAAATTCTTTTCCCCCTCATTTAAAAAAAAACATGATGCAAAATATAAGTACTTTGTATGCAATTATCATGGCATTTATTACTTTCTATTATAGTTATTTGCTTGCTGGTCCATTTCACCCTCTTCAAGACAAAGAGCTGCTCAAAGCCCGAAAGTTTGTCTTATGTATCTTTTCATCTCTACTACTTAGCATAGTGCTCTCAGTTCAAAGAATAAGTAAATTACATTGTTACTCAGTTGTGAAGCATCTATGAAAACGTATTATTGTGTTCTATAATAACAAGTCCTAAGACTTTCACTTATGTAATGTGATGTTTTCAGAATATCCCTGTATATCTATGAGTTGATGATTATTTTCCATATTTTATATAAGTAGAAACATTTCTTTTATTATTATTTATTATTATAACATTAAATTTTATTACTCAAAATAATATATAAAATTACTTGCAGAAATTGTCACTCTGAGTAAAATATATCACCTATATTATCATTAGGAGTAATGTTATATAGCATTTAAGGTAGGGTTATAAGAAAATATTTGTTCCATATTGGGGAAAGAGAAAAAAACGGTTGACCAAGTGTCCACATACCTGGATTAATTGTGCTGCCATATATGATTCATCCGTTCAGCAAAAATTCATTGGATGTCACTGTCTTCTAATCTGTAGTAGGTCTTCTTAATGCCAATTGCATTTTATATGATGAAGATTATCATATGTATACTCAATAATAATGCTGTTTTAATGAATGTATTGTCTTATTCCTTAAAAAGTATACCTGAAATATTTTAGTGAACACCACAAATGATATTTTATTATTCCTCCTTATGGTTTATATTTAAAAGAAGGCAACAACACTTGATTATATTCTATACTTGTTTAGGTTAATTGCAAGGAGGATGTTTTCTTATTCTAATATGTGATCAGTCCTCTAGTTGGAATTCAGTAATTCATGACTCATTTCATTCCAGGTCCCCCAGGCCCTCCAGGTGGTCTTCGAATAGAGGACATTAGAGCCACCTCTGTTGCCCTCACTTGGAGCCGTGGCTCAGACAATCACAGTCCCATCTCCAAATACACTATCCAGACCAGGACCATTCTTTCAGATGACTGGAAAGATGCGAAGACTGGTGAGTTATATTTGTCTGATTAGTTATTACATGTTTCAGTGTGACTTTTTCAATAAAATCCTGTAGGTTTTCAAATTTCATGATGTATGTTGAAATACTTTTTTTCTTAAATCATTTTTTGTTTTAGTACACTGGTTTTTTAAGCATGTCTAAATCTGTAGTGGGAAAGCAACAAGGACCTCCTAGTTTTCTTCTTTGAACTACAGTGAGGCTAAGATTCATTGGGAAAAAAAAGAATCATTACAGAGTCTTTGTTTTGGCAAGTGTCATTTATGACTCACTTTATCTCATTATTTAGGAACTATAGTTCTTCATTTTAAAAAACAGCTGCATTAATCATAAATATTATATTAAGCATTCAAGTCTTACTCCTTATAGTCATTTACTTCCTGAAAATGATCGTGCCTGGTTTTAATTTCCTCAGGGAAAGATTTTAAGGTTTGGTTTCTTTCAAACTTTTTTCTTTTCTTATATTAAGATTTTCTTAAAGTTGATAAGGAAAAGTTTATTACATGGATACTTTTGCTTACCTATAACTATTACCATTGCCATTTATCATTACTAACCTAGAATATCACACATCACTTTATTTTCACCTGTAACATTAAAGAAGGTAGAAGATATTTTTGTAAAATAATAAGAAAGAATAGTAGAAATATCTGCTCATTTGTCACCAGAGGAAAAAGAAATAAGGCAATAATAGAAAATAAGATGTTTCTTCCTTTTAAAAACTGAAAAATAATCAATCCTGTGTTCCAAATATACTCTCGACTTAGCTTTATCCTGACAGTTTTGCACAGTAAGGTGTTTTAACTTAGATTTATTTTGTATTGAATATATTCTTTTCTTTCAAGGAAAATTAGTCAAATAGAAACTTAAATCTGTTTCAAGGATTTAGGATATATCTTAGTGACAAATAATTTTCTACATAGATGTATAAAGTTCCAAAGAATTAGAAACAGGTGAAATATTCTCATTATACTGTCTTATCATTATAAGAATCTTTTATAGATGAACTTGACCAAGTCAGACAATCTGGGAAACAATTTTTTAAAACTTTTAAATTTTAGATTATTTTAAGGCATGAGCGCTTTCTGCTTTTATGAAGAGAATAACAACACAATGATGAAATTATAGATAATATTAGGAATCAAGTAGTGGACACTGATTATAGGTACCAAGAGCAAAGTGAAATAAATCAATACATGGTTAAAATTTGCCTTGGTTTTAGAAAAGGAATATAAAATTCAGTCATTGCCATTAATTATCTGTGTATGCTATGTAGCCCAATCAAAAGGAAAGCAAAGTTATTACTAAAAAAAATAATCCACCATAAATTAAATTCCATAAGTATGAGAACTTTGTTTTATTCATACTTCTACTCCCAGGACTTTTATCAGTCCCACAGTACTATTTCATTAAATGGATACTTATTGAGCTTCCACTGTGTTCCAGAGTCTGATCTAGATGCTGGAAATATAGCTGAGGAATATAGAGAATAAAACAAAGTCCAAAACACCCCTGCCTTCAAGTACCTTGTTTTCTTGTAGGAGAAATGATAATAAACAGTTAAAATATATAGCAAATCATGTGGTTATTTGTGCTAAAGGAATCACAGAGAATTGGGAGCTGTGCTTCTGATATCAATGTATATTGATATACTCCTGCCTCTGGCTATTCCTGTTTCCATCACATATGTTTCCTACTTTCCCTTTTAATTTATCTGCATCTTTGGCTATTGTTTCCTGTTGACAATGTATAGTTAGAGCTTATTTTTTATCCAGTCTGATGATCTCTGACATTTTACTGAATTCTTTAATCCATTAACTTTTAATGTTATTATTGATGTGGTTGGATTTATAGCTCCCATTGTTTTTTTGCTTTTCAAATGTTCCAAATTTTTATTCCTCTAGTCACTACTTACTGTTTT